GCGAGAAATGATAATGTCACGCTTGATGAAGCCCATCCTCTACGAAACCCCCGCGTCCTGTAGTCAACGGATGTAGCACGTTGTCTTCTGTCCGTCTGTCTGTCTATCGGTGTGGCCGCCTACCCACCCGCCCACTCATTCAGACCCGCGCTCAGTTCCATCCTAATAATCCCGAATCATAATGCGACAATTCTGTAATTTACGCCGTCATCTCACATTAAAACGCGTATATTTAAGCAAACACACATAAATAGTTTATATACATAGAAATATAAATGTGTGTACTTCCATATATTGTGTACGGTAAACACGGCGAATATTACAAGTAGTACACCTGTAGGCATAAAAAAACTATGTTTATCTCGGTACGCTCGAGGGAATTCTATTGTTTGCTCCGTTATTCTAATTGAAAAGGTTCCAATTAAAGAGCCGAGCCCATTCAAGTGATTCTATCAATAAGGAGAAAGCAGACGGGATCAAAGTGAAACAACATGTAATCGTGGACATCATCATGTCACCATTACTACGAACGACTGCAGGAAATTTAACAAAAATATTCAAATATTGCACGCGGGAAGAATTAACTAGTAAGAAAAACACTATGAAGATCTTAGAACTAAATAATTTTCAGTCCCCGATCGCACTGGCAACTTTGCTTTCAGAGCTAAATCTGTTGAAAAAGGCTAAAGTGGCATCCAGTTAAGGCCATCGATAATAGCTAAACGGAGAATGATAAGACAAAAACAGGCTCTGTGTTGGATCAAATATAGAAGACACCAAAAAGAGGACTGACAGTGACGGATGATTTTGATCTAGCAGGATTAAAAACCACACGCTAAAGGATACAATAAAGAGCGAATTCATTTTATGAAATCTAGCTTTTTTTTTCTTTCATCGCATTGCTAAATGTTTCGAGTTTTACCTCCAGCACCGCCGTCAGACATTACTTTAGGCAGCTAGCCCTTTCCAGCACAAAACGAAGTATGTCTATGCCCGGATCCCGAATATTAGCAGGGATGAGTATATCATTACTAACATTGAACGCCAATGTCCACTGGAGGCAAGCCATCGCAACTCCGTCGTTCACATTGTTCTTCATACGTTACCTTACTACTAAAACGCGCAGTTTATCGTCACTATATCGTGACAGCGCTGTCGACTTTTTCTCTCTCTCTCTCTCTCTCTCTCTCACTATATATCTGTTAGTCGGTAGGGTAAATGACGCTTTCATTACATCTGCACTTCACGTTTAACCCTTACTAAGGTCGCTTCTGCTCGTCCTGGCCCTTGTAAGGCTAAACCGTCGTAGGCTGATTATACAATTCCTCCGATGGTTGTTTACACTGCTGCTACTGCTCAAGAGGGCGAGAGGTGGAAAGTGGGGCATAAGGTGCTCTATAATGCGGGAGCACCCACTCAGGGCTAAACTACTACGAGAACCACCTCTACTATTACGATACACGACTAGGTGCTGCAGCGGTCTCAACCGAATTGTAGGTCCAGCAGTGTATTTACTTAAACGACGACGGCGACAACTACGGCACTAGAAGTCAATAGATGGAATTACGTGCGTTTCTAGGTAGTCTACTACTGCTGGTTCGCATGCGGCTGCAACTTCCGGCAAGCGGCCTTTGTTGCCTTTAGGATTACTACGGTGAGTTTATAGGGTCGGCAATAGTAGGTGTATCGGCGGCGGAAGCGGCAACACCCATTATGCCATAGAAAGAGCGTAAAATGCGCAGCTGTACAGCTAGCCAACTCGGCGTGACACGTAAGCATCCTCACATGCATCTGTATGCATTCTGCCAGATAGTTCTACTACTCGTAGTACTGCCGCTAGGGCTATTGTGGGTACGCAACCCATACAGACGTGTGTACGTACGTATGTGCCTGTATAGTATGAACCTTGTGGTTACGTTGGAACAGAAATAATCGCAGCGGCAGCGACGACAATCACTGAAATAGTGATAGCCTGATTCAATTCGTCAACTGCCCTTGCTGTTGGCCTCGTCGTCCTAGTTTTCCTCTCTATCCTTTCACTACCCGCTATCCTTCCGCAGCCCCTTGCCTGTTCTTGTACTCTGCGTTCTTATAAAACTGTCATTGTCGTTTGGATATGTAAGCCTCCTTGCAGGTTGTACGTGCAATGTGCGGCGTTTTACGTTCCGTCTACAGTGCATGCAATTGTTTTGTCGAGATCTGACTCGCAGACAACCCACATCCTCGCTGGCATCCTCGTTGGTTCCTTTCCCTTCGACCGCCTATCCCGTCCCTTTTGCCAACAACAGGGTAACGACAGTGGCGTAGCGAACCGAGGAGGTATTTATTTGGTCGACAATGGGAAGCTGTAAGATGGTTTGCGCAGTCTCTAAGGCCCAAGTTTCTGCAAAACCGTTTTGCCTTCTTTCTGTCGCCGATAATTCACCTGGCTCCCCCTAGTTGCTGTGCATTCACTAGCTTTACTATACCTGCCAAAGCCCCAAATTCAAGTCCAGCAAGTACCGCTTAGCTTCCTAACCTGGACGTTGCTCCCACTGAAAGTTATTTCCGTTTCTGATCTTAGCTCGGAACCCTAAGTCGAATATGCCCTGCATCCATTATGCAAGCATCCTGCCAGTTATCCTGCCTAGACGTACATTGAGATAGAGTCCTATTAAACAAAAAAAATGCGTTTTGACCTTACACTCACTACGTGAAGCCTTATTATCACTTACATCAAATTACACGTTGGTCGATGCACCTGGGATTTTTAGAAAGCAAGCAAGAGTTTAGAGTGATTAGCAGACAGAAGGCTAATCTCGTATACATCTATATTTACGAGATTAACCTTCCCATTATATATATATATATATATATATATATATATATATATATATAGTCTTTTGCAATAAACAATGGAATATAAAACAGAAGCGTCTAAAATAATAACTAGGTAACGAGACGATGAGGTATTCATATATCTACGCAGTTTAGGTGCGTAATACATGATGAAAGCATAACGTGAATGGCTTAAACCCAGTAAATAGAGAGCCCAACGTTCGACAAAGCAAAATATATAGCTTTATTTGAAAAATCCCGACCCGTAATAAACTTCGAGCTTCAACGACTTGTCAAGTGTATCAGCTCACCCATTTTATCAGAGAATAGCAGTCAGAATTTCCGTTTTCCAGTGAGAAAACAATTTATTTATTTCTACGGCAGCAAACGAGACAGGAGTATATCTACATATTCGCTGACGCTTTTCTCCCGCGACATTTGTATCGAATGACGAATTTCATAAAAACGTGAGTTTTAAAACATGTACATTTAAGCATTTATTTACTGATGAGTACACTTGAACATGTGGTTGCCAAATAAAGCTGGCATATATTAAAACGAAAGCTACAACTTCCAGAAGAAAACTTGAAAGAAGCTTATATTGCGTAGTTGTAAGGACGGCTTTTTTTAAATTTATCATCTTTGAGCTATAATCTTCAAAGTCAAGTCAAGCTGCAGCGGGCGTTGACTCAGGCGCAAGCGTCCGAAGTCGCTCGATGACAGATGAGGAGGGGTAGCAGCACCGGTAGAGAACTTCTGCGTTTCTTTTAGATCATGTAAACGTCGACTTTGGTGAGGCATGTTGTTGTATATGCCATGAGTGCTCGTTGTCTATAGGCCGAGGTGGCCGGTGAATCTGTGTACGAAAGTAGGACCGAATGATATAAGACATGAAGCGTCCCATAGACGGTTTCACATGACTAGATGGGACTAGACAGAGCGTCTTAACGGAGATTAAGGGAAAAGACTTTTTCGCGCGATATAAGTCAACCTGGCAGACGGACAAGTAGCGAGTGAGCCGCTTAGAGCGAGTCGTGAAGCGGCGCGCCGCCAAACCTCGGTTGCTGCCGCCATCTTCTCCGGGTCTCCCGCAGTCTCTACAAGGTACCTTCTTCTGAAGCGCTTGACGAGGTGGTAGCAGCAACGATCCTTCTATATTTTAATGAAAACGATGACAATGGTGACGAGTTCTATTCCACTTATTTCCATTGCGGCTGCTGTGGCTCCTTTTGCCGTGACTTGAACGCCTTCAAAGTTCTTGTGCGTCGTTTCGGTAGCGTTCAGATCCCAGGCGGTTCGTCACCATTGCCGCACCACCTGTTCTATAAATTATTAGCTTGCCATGATGCAGCGTTATAGCTTCCTTCCACGCTGAACTATCCATACGAGGAGTAACTTATGCGTCACTCGGTGAGGATACAACCGAAGCGTCGGGCCCTTAGCAGAAGCTATAGAAGTCGTCGTCTTTCATAGCCGAACTTGTCCTTTTTCACGATAGGGGATTAGGTCGAGAAGACCGAGAGGCAAGCGGCGGAATAACAAGGTAAAAGGTGCCCAGGTAGTTGAGCTGCTTCTTTTAAAGGTTGAGATTTGTATGTGAGTGTATGTGTGACTTCCATTTGTTATTATTGAATGCAATTGTACTTTTATGGTGATCTATCCATCGAATTAACGATAAGCTCTATCTAGCACAACAGCTGCATATTCGCTTTTGGGTACCACGTAGGCCTGTATGCAACCTGAAATTATTGATGGACACGAAAAACACATTATGCCATTAGGAACTCCTAAGCACCTACGAGAGTAATTCATGTTTAAGTGAAAGTAGTCAGTATTATAGCCTTAAACTATCAACTTGCAGGAAAATCCTGCCGCCAACGAATTTCATATAATTCTTCTTGCTAAAGTTGCAACGAATATTTCCAAATACATTTACCAGTTAGATCTTTGTGCCAAGTTAATATTTATGTTAGTATACAATTGAATGTAAACATATGAGCAAAAATTGACCTGGTGGGAAAAGAAACAGTAGCAAAGCACTTTGGGGCACTAGATGTATGGTACAGATTTGCGATAGCCTTGATTCCTCAATAGGATAGTTAATATTGAAAAAAAAAAACGATATATTATTTTTTATTAATCTCTGTGTATTGTTAATGTGTGTGAATTTCTGCTTTTTACAGGGTACGATCGGGCAGTCCCCGGTTACGAGCGCTATTCGATGACGGGTAAAGCGCGCCGCGGCGAACATAACCTGCTCGTGGTAAACGCAACAGTAGACGATGACGGTGAATACCAATGTCAGGTGGCTCCAAAGGGCAATAGTAGAGCAATTTGGGCCAATGCAAAGCTCACCGTTCTATGTAAGTACTCTATGGCCCCTATTGCCATTTGTGTTGCACTTGGCTGATTAGTAATGCATAGTAGTATTTACAATTCGAGAAGTAATGACAAAACGGCCTCACGTAACTAGAAAATCGCCATAGAATAGGTGGCAGGCTAAGGGACATTTTCTATTCATCCTATTATTCAATAGGTTATCTTCTTTCAGTTTATGTCAGGGCTAAATCTAAACTTCTACTGGCTTGACAATTGTCCCTGTAAATTTTTGGATGGGGTGAGTTAGTCTATCTGAAGCAATATTGAGACAGAGCGAGTCATCAAGCCAACCAACAATCCTGACAACTACCCCCCCCCCCCCCTCTTCCCCTACTCAACAAGATTGGGTTAGTCGTCCACTAACTCGATCGATGGACTTGCCGACTTCTTCGTTTTAGGCCGCAGGCGGAAGCTGACCCAGATTTTAAATTGGCTTCCGTTGGTTTTCTTATTTATTGGTTTCCCTTAGGAATTGAAGAAGGAGAGAGCGAAAAAAAAACTAGACAAAACTCTAGTTTTTAGAGGACTGGTTAGTTCTTATTTCATTCGTTTTGCTGAGAAGAACCACAATTTGAATTTCGTATCTTGACTGCGTCGGAGTAATGCCAGAACAATGCTGTATAGCTAGCTACCAGCACGGGTTCCTGTTTTTTGCACGTGCGAGCCATGCGTGCACATGTGGTTTGTTTCACGGCTTTCCAAGTCGGCAGCATATCTTACAGATCTGACTCTATAAAAGGGGCTCTGATTTTTAAAGTGGTTGTCGACGGCGTTCCATCTTGCAAATCAAGCAACCGTAAAGTAGCTGCCAACATTGGGGGTATGTATAAAGCGCGAAAGCTTTGTACTTTTTGTTGAGGGCCATTTGACGCATAATTTCTAAAGGATAGACTCCAATATAGGCGACTTAGTTTACCATGCACCTTTTTTTATAATAAAACCTTCGATCTCCCCCTTTTCTTTTTTTTGGTGAGCATTGATATAATATGCCAACAATAGAAAAAAAAAATTAACATTTTTCCGACACTACGTACTTCACCATGTAATAGGGTAGTTTGTATTTCTGGCTTTTAAAATAGCTACGAGTAGCAGCTAGTCCTCATTTGCAAGCTCAATTCTGAACGGCTTCTTTAAGGTTTACGATATCACGAATAATCTCATAAATCAATGAAACAATTGTTTTGTAAGTTTAGCAGCGATAAGATTGAACACGTCCTTTACTGGACTATAGTTGAAGTTAAGAATAAGAAAGACGCGACGGAAGACATCAGGAATTCAGCAATATTAGTAGAAACATGGAAATCGAGGCAGGAGGAAACACGGTGGCTCACGATGGATGAGTTATAAAAAAACTCTCAAAGCCTTTTCCTGGTCTCTTCTTTTTCTTTCCCCATTGAAGAAGATTGGGTCTGCCTTTCCCGTTTCCTGTCAGTAAGTAGTTAGAGTAAAGTACCAGTCAGGGTTTTCATAAACCTACGTAATTTCCACTTTTAAACTGGGTAGTAAGTATAATGCAGAAAAGCAAGCAAGCGGCCCGATTTCCTCGTTCGCAAACTTTTTGCATTGGTGGAGTTCTGTAAACCTTTCCATTCTCCATCTAAATATTAGCCTGAGTTTTAAATTAGGTACATGGCGCTAGCAGCTTCAAGAAGCAATGGAGGTGGCCTAAAATAGAGGAGGGAGAATAGGGAAGTTGTGGAAAGGAAATTGGGAATAGGTTCCGTTCAGTAGATGGGTCAGCCGCTACCGCTGCTACGGTTACCTGCCAGCCGCAATGAAGATGAGGGGAAACCGCCGACACCAAGACAGCGAGTTCTTCTTTGTAGCGGCAGCAACCTCAAAGAGTGCGTACTTAAGGTTTCTCTCCGCCCTTCACACCCACTTCCCTTCCTTAGCTTTCATACAACAAATAAAAACTTTAACGAACCGCGATTAGTGATGCACATGAGATTCCAGACATGCAGCCATCATTTGTTGACAATGTTACTTAGTTTCAATACGTACGGCCCTAGTTGGTGAGGGAACATCGTAACGAAATTGTCCAGTAGAAGGAATAGAAACAGCTCTATTGGCAGGTGAAGACCTTGAAAAGCGTTTTCAATAAAAAACAACGAGCACTTTGGGGACACTTCTGAGCAACCGATTCACGACGCTTATCTTTATTGGTGGCAATGTTAGAGAAGCTTTTAAGAAAGCTTCTGCTTCCAGCATGACGCGGTCTTAGTCTGGGTAATACGGTCCTAACATTGCTTGTATATATTCGCATATATAGGCAGCACCGGTAGAACAATGCCATATTTGTGCGTTTCTCCTCATCATTGCCTAGCTGGACTCTATCTTCATTCGCGCGATGTTGTCTCCCCCTTTCCTATCCCTTTAGTCTTCGCTTACGCTTTGAGTTCGCTAATAATGCGCTTTATGTTCCCCCGGGATCTTCATCTTTTGTTAGGCCTAGTCCGTTCTCCGTAAAACAACCTTTGTCTTGTCAATATTCTAAGCTGGCATGTTATCTATGCCATCCTGACGTGCTTTCTAATATTCATAAGGAGAGCAGCCACGACGGCGCTGCTACCGGCGCCACCCGCGCCAGAAAGAGACTGCGACGCCTTTGGGGCACATGGGAGTGTAATTCCTCTCCTGAGTTAATCGCCGCCTCGCGGCGACGAGCTGTGACGTTTTCATTATACGCGTGTACAACAAAGGCTATTCTCGGTTCCCCTTTGCGCACGTAGTAACCATTCATTGCCTGATGTCTGAGTTTAACATTATGGAGACATGCATAGGTAACCATTTAAGAATCTGCCTTCTGCCATATAAGCTGGTGTTATTGGTGCTTTTTGGAGCGAGATGCCACTACTTCTGTTGTTGACGAGATGACGAAAGCCATGTCTGCTTTTGCAGATAGCATCTTATTTTTTGTGTATGCTTCCATCACTTGGCCCCGCTCTGTAAGGGAGACAGTGAAGGCAAGACATAGCCTTTCTCTATTCCGCTTGTGTATCTTATTGTCTTTGTATCAAAAAGGATCTTGAGGCAAGCAGTTTTTTCCTTTGGAATAACTGCTTTGCTACTACCACTGCTCCTTTTCCTAACACTGCCACTGCTCGCACGGCTGCTATTCTTACGGCTAGTACCCGTACTAGCAATCCGTCAGCAGCAATAAAGACCGATACAGATACGTGTGTATGCATCTACGTGTCTAGGAGCGGTTCTTCTACGCCTTGTTCTACGTGGACCAAAAAGGCCAAAAGCGCAAGTGAGCAGAATAAGATGAGTTATGCTGGGCCATTCCCTAGGCGAACAAACTTATAATTCTGATAGTCTTTTAGCGTTCTTCTTTTGTACGTCAGTGAATCGCTTCTCGCAGAGACCAACGGTTTGTATATTCTTGTAAGTCTGCGTATCCGATTGTGTGAGCGCCCCTGAAGCGACACCTGTGCGAGCCACCTGATCTCTTTTGGGTCTTTCAAATGCGGCTCGTTGTCTTGCTAGGATCTCGTTTTTGTTTTGATGTGAACATCTACTGAGAATGGGTGCGGCTGTGCCAGGTTCGTGTTTTGGGGGATCTCCTAGAGCTCAAAAGTGCTTGATTAGGTCTTAACCCATCGATTCACTAGCAGCTTCGGGTAGTGTTGGTGTCGTACCGCGCTTGGGTAGAGCAGTGCCTGCCGGGCCATTCTACTTTCTGCGGTTAATGCTCAGCTCGTTTATAGGACCATGGGGAAACTGGGGCGGTGACAACAATCCGAAAGTGTTTTAGAGGGAAAGTTACGCGGACGTGAACTCCGCGGACATGGACTTAGTTGGGACTCAGAGGAGAGGCAAGCGGGGACGAAGGAAGCGAGGGCTTGGAGAAGCAGCTGAAGACAGAGATTCCGACGGGTTGCAGAGATGGGTAGGATAATCAAGAAATTATTTGTCACCAAGCTTTCCCATCGTTTTTCTTCCGTTGATCGGAATGGTCCTTGTTGTTGAACTGTCGGTGGTAACGGCGAGCCGCTAAAAAACCGACCTTGTTGCCGATACTACTAATACACCACTACAAGTAGTGTCACGCCGGACAACGCCTGTCACGCTAGCCAGCACATATCAACATCGCACAGAGTCCGACAACCCGATGAAGGCTGTTCTTTACTATAGCGCAGTGTAGCGCAGCTGTCTGACCAGCCACCTGCCATGCTTACAGACAGAAAAGCTCCCATTAGGTTTAGTAACTGTTTGGACGGGTCCTGTCTCCTGCAGCACCGTCGATGACTGTAACGCTGCAGTGCGAATAGTACGAAAAAAATTTTGCTAACGACATAATTATATAATAAAGTGGGTCACGATGCTGAAGATATCTTTTGTCTATTTGCTTGCTAATCACTTCGTTTGCTTGTAAATTTCGTCATATGTGTGCAGTACCGCCGAAAACTATTGAGATTGCCAATTACCTGAACAACAGTCCCGTCGAAGTGAAGCAACAGGAGACAATACAGCTGTCATGTCTTGTCGGCCAGTCGAAACCCCCCGCCGAAATCAAATGGTTTCGAAATAACGCCGAAATCCACCGACCTGGTAAGTAGTTCAAATAGAAACTAGTATAGGTAGCCACGAAGAGCCGCGTATACTCACTATTTTATAAGTTCGATATACAATAAATAAATAATAGCCCTAATATTAGCATATCTTATAAGTGCAATGTTAGCATAAACTGTATTTCTCGTAGTGTGTTCCTCTTTCTTCCTTCTCTCCCTAAAAAACGTCTTCTGTAGTCAGTAATCCATTAATAGAGCTTACTGAATACGTATACAACTGTACAAGGGCCTTGACCTTTAAGACCTCCAACTTGCCAAGTTAAAAAGGTTAGAGAAAAATTGGGATACTTTTCCCAATTTAATTTTGAATCTTTTCCATGTAATAATATAGATCCCCGTATGTATAGGCGTTTATTTAAAAATCGATGGTCGCCGGGAAGTTATAGGTCATCTAAAGCTTCAACTATCGGTGCAGCTGCACAAGGGCGTTATATGTAAATCGAGCTATTGCTGTAGGACTGATTTTGTTTCGAATGTAGTTGTCGTGCCTGTCACATAGTAAGAACAGCAAAAGTCTCTTTCAATTTCTCTCCGATTGGCCGTCTTCTCTTTGAGTCTCCCTAAGTCTTGTGGCACACCTACGTCTTTGTGTTGTCCGTCGTATTGAGATTTACTATACCCCGTTTATCACCGCTACGAGGAAGGCTGTTGAGTAGAGTAACAGGATCGAATGGGGCGGAAGGGGGTTGTCAAGCTGAACCGGAGTAAAGTGAGAGCTGTCAACGCGCCTTTTCAAGATGGACACTAAAGAAGGAACCTTTTTATACATAGAGTGGAACAGAACATGATTGTAAGGTTTACGTTTCTTGTACGGTGTTCGTCTTCATGGAAGGTAAGCTGATGAGTTCGCCCGGTTGTCGCTATCAACCTTGACGCCGATACCCACGCTCCGAACTGTTCAACCTCAGAAATCTGCCCTGAAATATAATCTTTCCGATGAGCAAAGCCAACGACGCTGCCGACCCCGTTCTACATCCCTGTACATATAAGCGCCTTTTATTGTAGCAGTATTTTTCGATATGATTAATACTGATTAGCTCTTGTGAGGATGCAGAGAGCCTATGCTGTTGAAAAATAAACATCTGTTGTAAAAATTCAGGACATAACTCATTAAAGGCTGTTCTAAGTAGCAAACTCAATAAGTGCTTTTCTAAAAGAACAATCGCTTTCCTTGCAGATATGATCGAGTATAAGACTTTAGAAGGAGACAGTGGTCGACATTCTGCTGTTTCAACTATCACGTTACGCCCGTCACCCGAGGATAACGGTGTTGCGTATGCCTGCCAGGCGCACCATCATAAACTTAAACCGCCACTGACGACGCTCGTGCGGCTTTCCGTTCTATGTGAGTCTTTCGATTTAGTAGAACTGAAAGTTGAGGTAGCGGTTTATGCGGTAAGGGTTTGTTGCTTTAAACAGGCGGAGGCCAAGGCAAAAATGTGGGTAAACATCATAATAAAGTTAAATGAATAAAAATCGTAAAATCTCATCCAGGACCGAACTTTTTGATGATTATAATAACAACGCCTCCGGATCATAGTACCAATCAGGAGATGATATTATTAATAATACAGCAATTGAAAAATTCTCGAAATTGGACTTTATTGGCAAATGGCAGATACGAAGCACGCGTACGACTAAGCACTTGAAGCTCTTAACGTATATGAAGAGACTGACACCTCGAAGCAAAATAAATTAAACCTCATAGAAAACACACGGCTCACGAACATTAAATTGGCCAGTAACTGTAGAACATCGATACCTCCCGCTAATAGGCTACCACCTAGCTATGCAAGAACGGGGTTCTCTGCGAATTTCTGAAAATCCATACAACATACGCGTGAGCGAGTTACCCAGATTAAACAGTGAAGTTCCGAATATCATAAAAATAAAGACCTGCTCAGAAGTTGTTACTAAACACAGCACTGACGGCAGCAGAAGCACTTATTGCTAGCGACAGTGCATCGCTGTCTTCTGAAAGCGAAACAAAGACGATTTTCTTCCGTTTGCTTCGGCTCCCATTGGTATCGTTTGCAAACGCCGTCATTTGTCTTAATCAGATTATCCAATAAAGCTCTCTGCAACGAACCAAATTGTTTGAGTGCTAACAAAGACAAACATGTCAGCCATTGTGTGTACGTATCTTGTTATGAAGCATAAGCATTTCGGCGTGGTTTCTTATATAAACCCGTATAAACCCTTTATCAGTTCTACTAATGGTTGCTAGTATCAGTATAGTGTGCCCCGGCTATGTATCGGATAGGCCAATGCAAATATCCCTGTTGTGCAGCAATATAGACTGATTGAATGGATTACTCGTTTGTGGCGCAACACATAAACCTATTCTAAACCTAAACACATATTCTTTAATCGACAGAATTGTTCGCAGCCGCGGCAGCGGCAGCACGGACATGGAATTGAACGTACAATACGGTTGCAGCCAAAGCTACGTCGTAAATGTATTTATCTGCCTCTGGGGTCTCCGTGATAATCTAGGGGGCAACGGATTTACCTGGTGAACTAAGGGACACCTTTTGGTCTAGGTTTGAATCCGAGTACAGATAAACTTCGTTTCAACTTGGGAACCAGCGAACCGTTTCATGGAATCTCGAAACATGGAGGGTTCTTTAAACATGGCGTACATGGTTTTCGCGCATTTCACGGGAAGTTGTGTGATGGAAGAGTATCCTCTTTTCAGCTTCTTACACTCAAATTTCAACTTTCCTCCATTGGCTCGTCTAGCCCTTTCCCGCATCTATATTTATTATTATTATAATTATTTGGTGATATAGTAAAAACTAGTTGGGAAGATCGAAAGTACTAAATATGATGAAACTGAAATGGAGTGAAGTTTTCATCAATGACTGGGAGACTCAAAGGCAGCGGGGTTACACCCCATGCTTCATCTATTGTTTTTCTTTACACGGTGGTTAAAAGTGTCTAAATATTTTCCTAATTTAATGCCAAATATCGGGTCGTACAGTAAATTGGGCCAGAAAGTTTTTAGGTTGATCAAGGTTATTTTCTTTAATTTTACTAAGCAGGAATCGAAGTAATATAAGCCGATGACTAACGCATCGACACTTATCGCCTCCTTGAACAACGGGCGTGCTCCCAGAGCCATAGGGAACAGACACAAACAGCCATAACGTTGTATTAATAAGTAGAGCGAAGTCCGTCCAACGATCTAGCACCGTTGTGAAATACACTTAAGGAAATTTGACAAGAACCCAATATAACATACCCTGGTTGCATCACGAAACCTCGGCGAAATCTCTATAGGCAACTAGGAAACGCATTATGTATAGTGAAAAATGAACTAAACTTGAACTCAATTCCATACACACACACACACTATATATATATATATATATATATATATATGTATAAAAGTATAGCATTTTTAGAGAGGCGGCGATCGATTTTAGATTAGGTACTTCAATATATTCAACCTTTAAAGAGGAATAGCCAGACGAGCTGGCCTTACCCAATATATAAATTTTGTTCATAACTTTCTATTAAGAAATGCCACTTTCGAGTGTTTACAAGTGCTTTAAAGCGATATTTGCATTTCTCCCATTTAGGTGTTTATCCTGTGTCGCTAGTACACACATACAATTCTCTACGTATATTCAGATGGATCGCTGAATATAACAATAATTAGATAATGAGGAGAACTATTCCTCAAGAATGTTCTATTGCCGTGTAAACATTTTCCATCTGTGGAAGCAGAGCCTTGAATTTATATACATATATATACAGGAAAATATGGAAGATAAATGTTTAATAATAGAAGTAGTGACTGGCATCATTGAAAACCGTAGTAAGAGTACTAAGTCTAATAGAAGTCAGCGGCAGCTTTTCGAATATAATCAGTATATGAACGCTAGAGGACCGTTTAATAGCGTTTAATAGCTTTAACAGCTGAATTAACGTCGTTAGTGAAACCAAACACAGATGTTCTAACATTTGTGGTAACTTTCAACCTTATCGTTTGGAACAGGCATGTTTATATTGAAATAATCGCGTATAACCGTTTATAAACAACATCAAAGGCATATTTGCTACTAAAATAATCGAAAATCTAAACCCAAAAATCTTCAACTTAATGCGCCTTTGGGAGACGAGGCTTCAACTAGAGGTTTTTCCTTTCTGCGCGCTTCCAACAAGAATTGAAGTGAGGCTAAACATGGCCTCCGGGATAGCTGGCAGTCCTAGTCGCAGAACTAGCGGAAAAAATCTGGCCACTTTATGAGTACGGGTTCACTGAGAGGGTAACTGGCTTTAGAAAGAGTGAAAAAAACAAAGAAAAGTTTATTGTTGAAAGAGGAGGCTTCACACTGTCCACATGAGACCTAAGGTCGTTTACATTACAATAAATAACTTTAATAGCTAAGTCTCATATATATATATATATATATATATATATATATGAGTCGTCTCAGTGCCTTGCTAGCATCTGCCATTGAAGGTTATACGATTAATACTAAATAACTATTGGCCATAAATAAATTGAAAACAATTAACAATCTGAATGGTCGGTTACGATTTTATATATATATATAACATTAGCCGGCATCGACGGCGTGTACTAAGAAATCGAAAAACATCTCTATTGTGGTTACTCTTCTTCGTTCATATTGACTGCTGCTGAATTGAACGTACCTACCGCAGGATGCACAATACTTATTTATGCCTGCGTCTAACGTGAGATTGTACTAGCCTCGAGAAAAGGACCTCTAACAGACCTGGTGCCCCAAGAAAATCCTTTTCCTCTTTGTGACGGCCGAAATGCCCCGCCACACAGTTTTTAGGGTGTCTTAGCATCTTCTGGTCATGTCCGCAACAATCGGACATTATGATCCCCTCCCTGCTTTTCTCGTATACAGTACACACATCTTTTTCGCGAGTTCTGCTCATAGCCATGAAAACCGTGCTCTCTAGGATACAATATCTATCTTGTTGACTGCTTGGCCCAGAGGAACACACTAGAGCTGTTATTCACCGCTTGCTAGACTCTGGCCTTACCGTGGACCTTTTTATTCCTACGGACGCTACAGGGCTCAGTTACAGCGCAAGGCGTGCACTTACGGAACGAGTCTCCTATAACATCAAACCCTTCCTTTTTTGCTATCTTTGTGAGCTTCTATCAAGGCTAGCTTTATTTATAGGACGCGCAAAATGTATATTAGAATGGGTAGTTCACACCGTATGTTTCGCATTTACGTTTATAGGATGCAGCTTTTTCCTTTTTGCTTGCAACACTGTAAAAAATACAATCTTCGATATGGATGCGACGAAAAACCTTGCCTAACAGTAACTTTGTTTTTCCAGTTCCGCCCGATCCGCCCGAAATACTCGGATACTCTGAAGGGGAAGTTCTGCGTGCAGGTAATGCAGTGACATTACGTTGCGTCTCGCGCGGAGGCAACCCCTTGGCGTCGGTTCTTTGGTATCGGGGAAGTGATACCAAACCCTGCGATAGTTCGTTTAGTTCCTCCGACAGAAACAGCGTCAATACATTGAACTTCATTGCAAATGCCAGTGATAACAACGCGATCTACCGCTGCGTAGCAACAAATCCCGTTAGCAAACCGGAAACGGCCCAAGTAAAACTTTCTGTACACTGTAAGTATTGCTTTGATACAGACATCTTGTAATGTTCACAATATTATGTTCGCAGACGCTTAACCAATATGTTACCTTATTGAATTATTCGAGTTCTTCTCCTCTTAGTGGTTTTTGAAAAGTAAAGATTTTTCAAGCGGGATTTTTGCGGTCGAATTAATATGGTTGGATGTGGCCTTTTCGTACTCGTATGTATAGATATCGGTTCACGTCAAACACTAACGGGTTTCTGTGTTACTTTTTCGTCTGGGTTTTCTCTACGTGTCATTTTTGTCTCCATGTGCAGCGTTCACCGTTTGCTCATTGCTTATCGCAGTCATTCAAATGTATAATTTGGTCATTTGGTAAAATCCTTTAATTAAACGTATATGGCAACTTAATGTTTCGTTTCTTTGTTCGGTTAGACTGGCGCTGCTTTTTCTCGATCCAATGCAAGGCTCCATCCAGCTTTCGAATATCTCACAGCCGCTCTAAGTGCTTTACTTAGTATGCAGTCCTTTCAGTTTCACGGTTTATAAGATTGCACGACATGCGGAATCGTAACTGACTTTATCTAGTCAAGGCTTAAATATAATTAATGATTATTGTTTTTATTTGACACCCAGTACTGATACTGCAGTAAAATTTTTATGGGTCTGATTGGATAGGACCAGAAGGTGCAGTTTTGCATGATTATTACTTATTAATCTTTTCGCGCCAAACCATTGCACCTCATTTGCCACTTAAACATTGCTCAGACAACAAGAAGGTGTTTAGCTGGTCCATACTATTCGTTATATCCTAATGATTGAGTGCCTATAGGTGCTTTGTGGACTGGGGTTCCGCATTCCTCTGCCCGTTTGTCGATGGTCTATGGCTATTATTTGCTTAAAGAAGATATCGTCGATGTGCGCGTGCTTCGAGATGTGCGTGAAGTATCAAAGCGTAAAAGAGCTAACTATCTAACAGACAGCCGCCGAGCGACAAGGTCAGACGACCAGTGCGTTGCTCAGTTACTCACTTACGCATCCACACGCTCGCTCCTTCTATTTCTTCACTAGTTCTATGGTCCGTCAACCAGTCAACGGCACACAGCAACAGCGGCAGGAATCGCCGTATGAAGAGTAGCGGCATCGCTTCGATACGAGCGGCGTTAGCGTTGGCAGTGAGTGTCACTGTTGAACGCATCAGCGCGCTGCTCACAATCCCCGACAGCCCTCGATGCTAGTCCCAGGACTCCACGCTACATCCTAAGTGCAATCGTAATAAATTACTTTGACTAGGATAGAAAGTGGGGAGGTGTTCGCTCGTAGTTCTGCTGAAGGGTAAGGGAAGTGCGCTACCGGCGACGGCTGAGATACAGGAGGCAAGTGATGGCTAGAGTAGAGTACACATTGGAGAAAGCAGGAAACGAGGAATTGGTTGACAGCAGACTTCAATACATGCGAACTAAGAATAACTATACACACGCAGGCGTCAGCAGGCGTGTCAGTAGCCGTTGTAATCACGGACACAACAGTAATGGCTTTAAGGACATCGGCAACAATAACTGTGATTATTGTCATTAATATTCTATATTATATATGTATATTATATATATAATATATTGGCTCTGTAGAACAAAGCCGAAGTGAAAGACTGAGCAGATAGAGAATGGTACAGGAGAACGCAAACGAGAAAAAGGAAAGAGTAGACAAGGAAGAGAGAAAAAAAAAAGGAAGATGAAAAAGGAGTACCATCATACAGTACATCGAAAAAAGTCCAGGCTCGGCTGGTCCGCTCAGTCACTCAATTGTTTGCTTGCTTATGTAAGCGGGTGCCCCGCTGTCTGGCGATTATCTTCTATAGCCGCTGGGTAACGATGCTCAACGGCCGATGAACGTGGCGGGCACCGATGGTAGTCACATGAACGCTGCATTTTCCAAGTAAAGGTCCCTAACTTTGGAGGCTGCTCTGCTGGACAGAGACCTTCCAAACGATCAGAAATCGAACGAATCGTATGAAGGGATTTGAGGATATGATAGGACTTGTACACTTGTCTAAACGCTCACTTGCCTGTCGCCTGACACGTCACAAACGCTAGACCAGCGTTCAGGAACCAAAGTTCGGGCTGGGTAGATGGCAGCACCCACATCCCCATCTCGTTCTACGTCTCTCACTTGGTGACTGCTGGATGACTAACCAATGGCTTTACTTGGGGCTTATAAACGATGTGCTACGGTTGTCATAGATGACACAGAGGAACGTTTTATTGCAATGGGTTGTATTCGACTGGAGAGAGATGAACGAAGCAAGCGAGACGGTAGGGGCAAAAGGGACAGTGAACGGAGAGGCAACGGATTAGGCAGACGGGTATTGCAACACGGAGGAGAACCGAAGGGCGAATCACCCCGAAATGACTAATGACCTCAGTACGCTACTAAGATGTGCTGTTGGCAGAGCGACGATAGGAGTGGGTGGCGTATTGACTTAGGCCAGCAGAGCAGAAAGAAGGAGGTTTTGGCGGAAAGTACCCAGACTAGCACCTGCCAACGGAGCCAGTAGCTGTTGCTGCTTGATGGGTGACCGGTTGCCTCCGTGTCTGCTGCCGACACCTAACAGCCAGCGATTTCTAATTAACCTCAACGACAGGTATAAAGGTTGAAACTACTTGCTTGTTTGGCGATCTTTGTCAGTCTAATTCCCTATATTGTACGGCCATCGATCGGATAGGGTTAGTATAGATCAAATCACTTTCCTATGACCTGTGAAGCACATTGAAATACATTTCGTACTGGAACGCAACCGTGGATTATAATGGCACGATGGCTATTCAACGTTTTGTCTGCTTGATGCCATTTCGAAAAGCATAGGCCCTCTCCTCCTTAAAGGCGGCTTCAGCGTACCGCATCAATGAGGATGAAAATAATAACATACAGAATAATTACGAGCGCTCAATATATATGTGAGCGAATCTGTGCGCAAATATCACTGTTGTTTAACATGGTTATCGTATGTACGCATATGCTTTTCAGATGGTCCTTACATGGTTACCGTAGAACCTGATGGGCCTTCTTCAGCAAAGGTAGGAGATAGAGTAACAATGCGTTGTCGAACCGCACCCAGCAATCCGAAGGCTGACATCTCATGGACCGTCGATGGTCGACCAGTGAATGGATCAAAGTTAACAAGCCGACATGTCGACGGCGGCTGGGTGACAAGCTCTGAACTCTCGGTCGCAATCACCAAACAGGATCGGCAAATGAAAGTTTTCATCTGTTACGCAGTTAACATTGCACTCGGGGAGACTGTTGTCCAGACTGCTGCTATTGATATAATTTGTAAGTGCGACACGCTAACTGTTAAAGTCTAGCTTGTTAAATAAACAAGTATTTTATTCTATTCAAATTTTTCGATTAGAGTACTATTGCCATTATACATACTCCTACAATATCTATCAACGTTTCGCTCGTATTTGTAGCCGCCGTTCTTTCGACTTTTTTCTATCTATTGCCATGATAAAACATTGTAGCCGATGCGTGTTGGGTGTGTGTGTGTGTGCACATGGCATGACTATGTTTCCCCTGTAGACATGTATCACTATTTTTGTGCAGTCTGATGCCAATACCGTAGGATGTCACATCTCGTTTCTTCATGTCCCTTCAGATGTTTTGCATTCATAGTCAATAGTCTTCACCTATTTACGCTCATCCTTCGATTCTCTAGCACTTGACACTTGTTGGCCGTCTGATACATACACACACCATAGCTGATCGTCGTACCAATTGCCCATACCATTAGCGCTAATATCAATTAGGAATCACGTGTGTTCAGCTTGTGAGCAGTGAAGATCGGCTTAACTAGCAGGGACGGGTAACTGTTGAAAGAAGAAAAAATTATGGCTAGAAGCAGGTTGTCCTGCTGTCCAACTCTATCAGTAGCTCTCCTTTTACCTTGAGCGCCACCTACAGTCCTTAGTATCCTATCAGTGTCGATCGGATCGTGCTCAGTCCTTTAGCTAAGTGTGCGTGCTCTGCTGCAGCACATTCGACAAGCGCGTATATATAGCGTCGTTAATGAAGCCGTCAGCAAGATAAATGTACCCACGGTACCACTACCGAAGGCATGCCTCCTTCGCCCATCAAGACTAGCCCCTGAGACTTTTATCTCCAAACTCTCCTTTTTCCTCATCCTCCTCTTGAAAGGATCCACACATTACTAGCAAGGAAAACAGCCCGGTTGATGCTTAGTGTACAACAAAAAAAAAGATGGCCGTTTTTTGTTGTCTGTGCGGTTGGGCAACCGGCGGGCTGGCTGAACAATTGCCTACTTTTTCGAGGATAACTGAAGCTGGCCTGGCCAGCCAGCTAGCACGAGGGCAGTCGTGTTTGTCGGGAAGTTACGATGAGACAGGGATGGGTAGAAAGGACGCGGGGCATCTCGAAAAATCGGTATCCCGCCGTAGCCAGAGAGTCGCCGGACATTTTTAACCCGCAGATTGAATTGTCACGTCAAAGAGCTTAGAAGGAAATATAGTAGATCCGAGGCTGAGATACTTCATCTGTTCACTCAAGTAATTCTTGCCTGCCTATAGTAGTATACTGGTAGACGGTTTCCTGTCGTCTGTCTCGCTATCTATATATGTATATATATTAAGGCGAGTAAATAGTTATTCTGAAACTTCCTTTCAAAGTGTAGCTGACGTGTAGTGGTTACTGGGCGAACTAGTCGATGTCTTCACGACACTTTACAGATCCACCCAGCCCGCCTGTAATCTACGGTTACCTCGAAAGTAAACCAATGAAAGCTGGCGAGCAATACGCGCTTACCTGTGTTACCAAAGGGGGCAATCCAGCACCACAACATGCTTGGTTTCGCGGAAACAACAGGGTAAGTGAGATATGAAGAACAGTGAAGTATTTTACCCGAGCTTAAATTTCATAAATTCGTTTAGTGTACGTTGCTCATTTGCATACACTTGCATTCATACACTACGTAGCATATTTCAGCATACGTATTGTATGTATGTGCTGGTTCTGGGTAATTCCTCTACAACAATTCAGACATTCGACACTGCTGAAAAATAAAATGTGCTCGTTTTCAAATGTGTTCGCAGGTGGAAAGTAGTGTAAAAAATGACAATTTAACCGTTAAGTCTGAAATCGTTTTCACCGCATCAGAGAAGGATAATGGCAGACCTATTCGCTGTGAGGCATCCCAGAAGAACAGCGTTCCCCAAAAGAAGAGTGTCACACCAAAGGTTCTTTGTAAGTATTATTTTATATAATAATAATAATATTATATATAGTAAAAAGCAACAACTTTAGAATTGAGCTGAGTTCACACACAAAGGAATATATATATCCATCACGGTTCGGACAATTTCTGATATATATTCACATAGAATCTGTATTTGTCCTGCGTCTAAAAAATCGAAAGGCTATCCTGCTCACGCAACCATATCCACCTGCCCATACGCTTCGTGTAGTTATTGTTTAATGAACATAATGGCTTTTAGGTGTAATAAAAAGTTCTTTCTAGTAGCCTCGACACACTTGGATTTAAGACGAATCCAATTTGGTTGTATGGTTTCTACATGTAATTCGATGTGCAACGTACCCATTACTACGTCCACACAAAGTGCGAATATGTAACAACATTTCGTGTATATTATGCACGCGAAACGGAAATTTGCTGATTATGTTTTGTTCCAGTTGGTCCCTTTAATGTGACAGTGCACCAGGTAGGCCAATTGGTTGCAAGCCACAACGCCACTTTTGAATGCCGCACAGGCCCATCTAATCCTCGGCCAGAAATCACTTGGTGGAAAAATGACAAACTCGTCGAAGCCGGTCAGCAGGAAATTGAAGTGAGCAGCATCCATGGTGGGGTAATCATAGTAAGTCGTCTTTCGTTAAACCCTCTACAAGTCAATGACCATGGCGCCACAATCCGCTGCCAGGCGACGAACCGTGCCCTGCAACGGAGCGAGCATCATACCGTGGACCTGATTGTTGATCGTGAGTTCGAACTGATGTCTACTTTAACGTTGTTGAGGCGTAGCAATGCCTAATTGTAAAATACGCCACTTGACAACCTCTGACGTCTTCTTAAAGGTTCCGAAAATAATTTCGAAAATATCAGCCGTGCCTTAAATTATAATATAGAAGAAATAATGCATAGTTGTCGTGTGCGTTCAGTTGTTACAGTTTTAATTCAATGTTCATTTAGGAACCAGGCAAAGCAGGTTTCGACAGCTCTGGCCAGCTCTATCAAAGCCCAACATAAACCATCTGGTTTAATCAATCTATTTGATAATGAAATGTATTTTCGTTTAACAGATGCCCCTGTTATAAACCTTCGAATAGACTCATTGACGTTCTTCGAAGGCGACGCAGCCCTTGTACAGAACCTTGTCATAAGCGCTTATCCACCAGTAACCCGCTTCGAGTGGATGCATGAAGGCAGGCGTATTCCACTAGCCAAGGAACCCGAAAAATATCGAGGGGGGCCAAGACATCGAATTACCTACCGGAACGATGTGCTCAACTTCACTGAAATTCATCGTAATGACTCAGGCGTTTATATACTCAAGGCGCAAAATGCTGTCGGTTGGGGAGAAACCAACTTTACCATTGATGTTCACTGTGAGTAGCATACCACAATAACTATTTGACGTAATACTGTGAACTTTGTTTTTTGCAATAAAGGGCCAATGCACTTCAATGATTGACCTACGCAAAATAACCCACGCAGCTCTCCATTTCAGTCAACATACAATAGATATCAACCAAGTCTCTACAGACAGTACGCTAATACACGTCACGTCTATGCGTAATCTTTCTCTACACATGAGACATGCTAAAGGTCGATCTCTATATATATATATCTATCTATATCTATATATATTTATACAAAGTATAATGGGTTGTATCAAAGATAAAATAGATTTGACCTAGGACTTTATGCTAAACAGAGTTTATATGTTATTACTGTGACGACGCGGGATGGGAGGCAAGGGTAATCTCACCATAAGTGACTTTTTGCAGACCCCGCATCGATAACACACATTGACGAGGTCGTGTATGCTGACGATGGAAGCAACCCGAGCCTGCAGTGTCAAGTCGATGCCCATCCCGTCTACAATGGTAACCGAGAGAGCTTCGCTGAAGACAATTTTCTACGTTAACGTTAATCTGATGACTCGTGCAAACTCGATATTGTATATACCAAGCTTTTTTTCAGAGCTGTTTGAATTTATTCGACGAAAAAATAGCTTTAACATCTCAAAATAAAAATATTTTCACCTTTTTTACAAAATGTCAGGTACAGCTTTATAAAGTTTTAACGCCAAGGCAAGCTTATCTTTTTGGATTGCCAAGATACCATGAATTGAATGGACGACTAATTAGCTGCGTTTGAATAGTTTCAAAATGTACGTTTTATCGATTTTCTTTATCATAGCATAATTTCTATGGAACACCCTCCTTTATTGTTTCTGTCAAGGCTACGGTGGCTTAATTATTCACGTTACCTTGCTGGCCATAAGCGACAAAGTAAATATTTTCGGCTACCTAACTAGCTCGTCAGAGTAGTCCTTCATACTTAAAGGGAACATCTACCTCTGGATTAAGCTGAAGGAGACTTTTCGAAGAAGTCAAAGGGGGACCTGACAAGAGCAAAACAATTGCAGCGGTTCGTTGTAGCATAATGAGTAACAAAGAAGGACATAAGAGGAAGACCTGAAACAAAAGCTCCTTTTGCCCTGCTTCTTTTTACATCTTCGGATAGAGTGTGTCCCTGCAATGAGCATGGCGTTGTATGTAGGCCCTCTATTAGCAGTGGTACTACGAATATAACAAGGATCTCCGCGTTACTTTTTGCTGTTCATTCTTATTGTTGGCTGTCCCTGAATTTCTCACACCGCATGTCCGTGAAATAGAGCTCATGTAGGCGTTTGCGTTAGGCCGCCAATTTTTAAACAAGCTGGCGTTGTTATCCAAGCCCTCCTGGTGACGTTTGGATTCCGTTTTGTAAAGAAATGTTTGACTCTGCTGTTGTTAAATTTAGTGTAGGCCTGACATTGGAATCATGTAAATGTCGTCCGAGGAAGAAACATAATTGCTGCCTGTTACTGTCTAGCATTGAACGAACAGTTTAATCTCCTCACTATACGGTGTATTTTTTCTTTGTTTTTATTTGGCATATTTGTGCTGTGTGATTTTATCATGAACCGTACAGACACAATTTACTGGGAGCGCGAAGGTTTCGACATGTCCCGAACGCGTACAACGTTTAAGGGCCGAGCGGACGAGAAAACCGCTACCTCTTTCCTTACGATTTTCAATGTATCCAAGGCTGATATTGGCGTATTCAACTGTATTGCCAACAACAGGCTGGTAACTACCTCAGCGCAGAGGGGAGCCATGCTCGTTGTCAACTGTAAGTAACTAATATTTTATACTGGTTCTATTTCTCGACTGGCTAACGACCATGATTTTTAGCAGTAATAACTAGACGTTATCACAAATTTCTATAGGTTTGATAATACTACCTATACAATGTAAATGTGATCTTCAAATCTATACTTGTTACTATTGGTGTAAGACTAGTTAAACACAATATTTTTTCAGTAGTGTTCATTTCGAGAATATTAAGATACTCAACCGCTGTGATATGTATATTGTTACACATAATGTAGCAAAATCTATTTCATAGAACAATAAAACATTGATGCTTCGCTTAATTACAGTCAAGCCTAAAATCGAACGTCATCCGGCGTTAGCGAAAGCGGCTGCAAATGAAACTGGTACTGCACGTTTGCCATGCCAAGCAAATGGGGCTCGTGACGTGACGTTCTCGTGGCGCCGCAAAAATGTTCAGTTACAGCCGGGCGCAAAATACGAAATCATACAGAGACGCCTGGAAGGAAGCTTCGTCCAATGGGAAAGCGAACTGGTCATATCTGACGTGCGGACGTCGGATTATGGAAACTACACCTGCGTTGCTCACAATGATCTAGGATCAGATCACGCTCAAGTGCTTCTGACTACCGTCGGTAAGTCGCTCTGACCATCGTCCGGTACGTGTCCCAAATGGTTGGCATAACAACGCCTCCAAGGACACATGTCATGATCTAGCGGGTCACTAAGGTATTAGTAACTAATTCTACGATAAAGGACAATCTGCTTGTCAAATGTATATAACTCATGATCACGTTAAAGGGGACATATACACAAAAGCTATTCTAAATAATATGGGACTAATGCAACCGTCTCAGGACCTTTTTACAGATTCTTTCAACTTTTTTTAAAGTAAGGCAGATTTCCTCATGTCTTTTATGTCAGATACATTCTTTTAGGCCTATAAACATACAAAAAAATTCTTATAGACTTTGTTCTTTAGAGAGCTATAGGAAAACGCCCAGTTAGATTAAGGGGAATCAGTAAGGAGAGCATGATACGAATGCCTAGTATATTTGTATGTTTGCCAGAGTTTCTTTTTAATAACTTTGATGGCTCTAATGTCACATATTATCCAAATCATACTTCACTTTCGAGCACAGAAAGACTTTAGTATGTCTCTCTTACGAGAACAACTAGCAGTTAGATTAAAAATAGTCCGGTATAACCGCTTGCCAGAATAGGCAACATATAGTTACTTCAGTTTCATAGTGTTTATTCGTGAATGACGTCGGAGTTGTCATATTGTCACGTATAGCGGATACGTTCGTCCGTTGCTTTAGGAGAAAGAAATGTGCTTTATTGGAGGAGATGATTTTCAATACAAGATTAAGATCTCGATGCAGCTTACCCCCGGTCGCAGAAGAGAACACGAGGCGTGTGTAGGCTTGAATTTTTAGCCTAACATTTTATAGGACCGGAAATCAACTTTTCCATACACCGTGTTCCATATATCCATTAAAGTAAAGCGAACTGTTGCAAACTCCAAGGAATTAAGGTGTCACTTCAACACACTGCTATACACTCAGGCTGCTGATTGTTGCTATAGTGGTAACTGTATGAGATTGCTAACATCTACGCTACCGGCGGAGTTCACTACGCCGATGTTCCGCAACATTGCAGTTGTATGCGTTTGCAGCGTATATGATGGGTGCGACTGTTTGTCCATCTCTCAGAGTGTGAGTCAGTGCGTCAAGCGGAATAGGGGCGTCACAACTAGGATTTCATCATTCCGTTACATACTATCGTCATAACACGACGTTTGCGACAGCAGTAAGGGCTCGAAAGCAGTTCTATTCGAAGTAAGCGCTGTGCCGACTGAGGATGCGGAGAAATACTCAGTGCTGCGTTTAGCTGAGCTCAAGCGGTGAAAGAGAAAGAAAGAACGCCAGCCAATAACGGCGGCACCTGGGAATGTTGCCGAATCAGCTAACGGAAACGGTTAGCTATTTTATACTATTACGACCGGCATGACTAACGTGATGAGCGGAGCAGCGGACAAGGGAAAAGGAGAGGGGCTAAAAGGGGCAACCGTGCACGACCGCAACCTAGCCAATCCAAGCATGGTTGTGTTGTCTACCAGCTCACAACTGAACCTTCCTAAAACCAATTAGCCAGCAGACTTGTGATGATGGCGAGTAGCTAGCGGCTACTGCTGCTTGCTTGGTAGAGCAGCTGCAACGGCTGTTGGCTTCCAAAAGGACGGCATTAGAGAAAAGGGAGGGAGAGAGAGGGGACACATGTGATGGCGGATGCGGTTAAGATGACGATGTTGACGATAGAGCGGTAGCTTCTGGGATACTAGACCCGGATCCCTGGAGGATCCTAACGGGAACGCCATTGCATCGCAATGGTCAACGTACGGTGGAGAGCTTGCTTTCGAGCCGGGTCGCGCGTATGTGACTATATGGATTTCAGTAGGAGCAGGAGAACCATGGGACCTTCCTGTGGGGACAAACCGGTTAGACTCACTCGCTCGCTGCTGCAGGGCCCGATTGTTTGCCCTAACCATCGGTTTCGTCGACGCTTTTCCTGCACCTTGGGCCCTCACAGAGTTGCCACTGCCTTTGCAGTGATTATGTGTAGTTGGTATCTATGTCTGTGTCTGCGTAAGCACGCGTGTTGGCAATGTCCAATCCAGATTAGCCGAAAGCGGCGACTAGCTGCACTTATGCTGCTTAGTAAGGGCCAGCGGTCTCGCTTATTGGGCTTTAGTGGCTAAGAGGTAAGCCCCAATACAAACATGACATCCGCAGAATCCAAAGCCCAGTCGAGACTCAACCGATATCAGAGTGTTTTCTGGTTAAGCGGAGACTCTATGGACGAGCCAGTGGTAAGCGGTTCAGCCAAAGCTAGCGTTTCCACTAGAGCATGAGATCTTCTGGGCTGGTAAACAAACATCGTTATTTTCCTTACCACAGCCGTTCTTCCCTACCCCCATCAGATTGCTCGTTTTGAGCCGGACTCACTTGTAGGTTGTTGTTTTACCACTGTTCGGCGAACGATGACGCAAATTAAAGGTAATTGCACAACATTTCTCAGGATCTACATCGCTCAATCTATAATAGAAGAAATGATAAAAAAAAAAATAACCCGAGTGTTGCTATTCCGTGGAGTGAAGGAAGTGACAGTCACTCATACACTTTGAATTTGGTGCTGCTGAAGACATGTCGTCAACCGAAATGCCATAAAAACATATATGTGCTTTGTCAATTCGGCAATGTCACTAATGACCTAACAAGACAAACCTTACCTTACCTTAGCATTAAAATTTTGCATGTTCTAATTAAGAGTTGTAAAAGTATAGGTTAAACCTGGCAATTGAAACGCTTGAAAGCTTTATCAGATTTACTAGGAGTTATCTGAGTTTACAGGGTGCTTCAAGAGGGTAATTTCAGGAACTGCTGAATCTCTATAATATATAGACGACACCATTTGCGCTGATTTCTGGATTGGATACAGAAAATGGAATGGTAGCTACAGCGGCAGCAGCAAGGTCATTCTACCCGCTGTCTTTTAGCCGACCCGTTGGTACGCCGTTGGTACTCCCGGACGAGCACCAGCAGCAGTGCCAAATTGCGTGGAGCCGTGTGCGTTGTTGTCCTTTTAACGGCCGGGGCGGTGGGGGGGGGGGGGGGGGTGCGTATAGTCGGGCAGTCGTGCCTGTAATAGTAGTGGTGGCGATGGCCGTGATGGGCACACAAAACAGAAAGTATAGCAAAACCAAATAAGGACAACCACAAACATAGCGGCCAACTTCTGTGACGGTTAGCCGCTATCCCCTTTCCAATTCATACGATGGGTTCTGCTGGTAGAATAAAGCCTTCCGCTACTTTTATTTGATACTTTCGCTCTACCTAATGACCAGTAAAGGTATTTGTTATTACATTAAGCTACTCAGAGGGCCAAGTGGGACAAAGAGGACAAAGTGCTAGTTTCCTGAGGCCTCATCTGCATGTACATTCATAGAGATGTGTTTCCTGGTCTATGCATATTATGGGAATCTCTATCAATGGACGAATACGGAGCAGCCATTTGGCTTTAAAGAACGACAAAGACAGAGATAATAACAATATTCATATTGCCATTGTCGAGGGTATATTTGGATCATTGCATTCACTCGTATCTTCCTTCTTGTCCTCTTCGCCACTAACGTACGGTAGCTTGAATAACTCGGCGCTTCTTGCTGGCTTGGCGGCAATTCCAGTACCAGTTGTAATAGAAATCGGGTTGCACGTATATCTGAACGACGGACATGGGCATCCATTATCTTGCCAAGAGGCACTCACAAACGACAGAACAAGAGATACACGGGGCAAAGCAAGCAAGCAGTATAGCATAAGTTAGCTAATCACCACCTGCGCGTGATGACTGCATCCAGGTACATAGGCGCAATGAGCGGACAGGAAAATGGGGAACATGCGGCAATGAGCGTGACATGAGAAAATACGCTCCTATGAGTCTAGCTGTGTTATACAGTGGCAGCTATCTAGCTACCACCGCTACGGCAGCAGCAATTGGTTTAACCGTGGCCAGTCTACGACATCTCGCTTGCAAACGGGCTTATAAACGCCCTTTGGCCCCACCCAACAATCCAGGGAGTTCGAGCGTGTTCTCCTAGCACTATACATAGACGCCTTTGAAGCGCTTGGATTTCCTATCAGCTTTCTGCCCTGCCTACTTGCACGACGTTTCTGTATGTATACAATGCGTTCCGTACACATGCCTTTTACGAGGACAACGATGGCAACCACCGCCGCTTCTACTAAGATTGCCAATGGCGTCACGACAGCTGCGGATATGATTGATCTGCCTATGAATACATTATATACAGCAAAGCGCGGGGAGTAGACTACAGACCAGAGAATTCAAGCCACCACCGCCGTTGCCGCCAAGTACTGGTGTTCTGAGCCGTTCAGATCGCACGGGTTTGCGCTGTTCGACGCTCAACTCGAGGAACATCGGAGCCAGCAATGACTAAGCGCATTATTCAAGAGTTTGTTCGACTCTTCGATGACACCCACTCATCTATGCGCGATTTAGGGGAACATCGAAGGGCCGTGAAAGACGCAAAGAATCTATGCGTAAGTGTGGACGTAAGCCGAAACGACAGATCAACGAAAAGCGGGTCAGCTTTAGTTGGCGGCAGCTAGGGTGATCGCTTTTCGTACGATGTACACGAGGCAGAAGAAGATATTTGAGTTACTGACGCCGGCAGAATCGGTCAGTGACGCTCAAGCAAAATACCGTAAGGAAAAAAAGGACTTGCGAATTGTTCGGGCGGACGGAGGTGGGTCGATGGTGATTGTAGAAAATAAGTTATGGAAGGGAAGCGTTGCGGAGATTTACGAGATGTGAGTGACACTCGTCACTCAGGAGCCACTGAGTTGTTTATTTGGTCGCTGATACCGACACCGCTTCACTAAGTCGGTGAGTAAAAAGACAGTAGAAGCATTCGGCTTAAGCGACCGCTGGCTAATAGTGAACATTCTTGTATTCTCTAAGTAGCGGTCTTGGTACCGGCCTTCGTGCCAATCGTTTCCAAATCAACAATCTGATTCCAATCGTTTTAACTTTAATGATTTAACACAGCGTT